CCCCCCCCCCCCCCCAAAAAAAAAACCCAAAAAAAAGGGGGGGAGGGAAGGGCAAATAGAAAGAATAAAGAAAAATTAATTAGAAAAAAGAGTAGGAAACACTCCCCTCTCGATAGTTAGCACTTTTCCCGTATAATGGAATAATCTAAAAGTGATAATCATTATCGAATTCGTGAACATATAATGGTTGACATGTCAGTGAGACTTGGCTTAAATGGGAAGCATATACCAATATCCTTTTTTGTTGAATTTGCAGGGTTGAGGCACATCGGCCTTGTGATATCCTGGTGTGAAGAACCCCAAAGGTGACTGCAATGAGCAGAAATCTCATTCACGGGTCTAAAGAATGAGCAAACACATGAATGTGAAGCAAGGGATCACCTGATGAGTGGATAGGGTCAAAGAAGGGAGTGGAGTAAGAACATCCTTCCAATGAAGTGGTTTAAATTTTAAGTGCACTGTTAGAATAACTAAGCCCTCCATAAGGGGTTATTCTCCAAATGATACAGGACTAAGCTTTTAGGTTTTTTAGGATGTTCAGGTGACAGATTGATCAGAGCAGTACTCCAGGACCATAGACACTTAAGTATGACCCTAAATTTTCAACTGGCATCAGAACAACATAGAAAAATTCTTTTGTTGCAACTTCGCTCATGATATAAGAAAAGCCAAATAGATAACCACATAACTGTTGATAGTACTAAAGCTAAAAGAAATGAAGTACAGAGAGACAATCAATGATGATAAAAAATTCTGTAACTGGATGCCAACTGAGAAAAGGTCAACATAAGCATTGCATAAACATTTAGATTCAAGTAAAAGAGTAAATCAAGAATTAAAATGCAGAAAGATTTGAAACCCAGAAGATAAACTCACCAAATCAACACCTGTCTGTGCAGGTTGTCCCTTGCTTGCTGCCAGAGCTGCTGCATATTCTTCAGCCTATTTGATCAAAGAAACAAACATATATCAATAGCATTCAGATCGAACTAACTATTGTTGGATTATAATGTTATGCAAAGACAAATCTGTGAAACCTTGCGAGCATGAGCATTCATGATTTGTTCAGCATTTTCTCTCTGGTACTCAGCAATCTTTGCTTCAATAGCAGGAACGTCTACTCCTTCAATTAAATTAAAAACTGCAAGCAAACACAATTATCGAACACAATGCTCTGCGTAATGTATACTACATCACGTGCACAACAGATAAACGTACTCATATCCTCTACTTCTTCCAAGTAATCATTGTATTCCCTCAATGATGCAAAATCCTCTTCTCTTTTATTATAGCTGTGAAACCACAGAATATCTCAGCTCAAAAGGAAAATCAAACAAGAAAGGCAGAGGAAATAATTATTTTAATTATGATCACTCTCTATTACACAACTACCATAACATTAGGAGGGGTGCTGGTTAGCATACATTCCAAGGTAACAGAACACAACCATAACTTTCAAACAAACAAATGGAAAAAATAATAGTTTCAATGAACAATGGAACATGAAGCTAATCTCTCATCAATTTTAAATAGTTCAGATCATGCAGTCATTATTTTTTGCAAGAGTAAACCATCCAGCAGGGACAAAAGTCAGACTTCATGATCTGATGGAGCTAAGTGGAAGAGCATTCTCAAAGTTGCAAACGGTAATCGAAAATCAGTTACTAGAAAGACGTGACTTCATAAACACATTTTCTCATGTACACAGTTTTCCCCAGGATTCATACAAATAGCAATACCTTCCATCTTCTAAGTTCTAAATGCCAGCTGAGCTCTAGTTACCAACTATAGAAACCACAATTTTGCATCTAAAAATGATTTCATAAAAAATCTTTAAATTGAGGGAGAATTTTACTTTTAAAAATATGCAATAATTTGGAAGAAAAATCTCCAAAACCCAAAAATTGAATTTCATTGAACCCTACTCGAGTGAAAACAAATATCCTTTTTTCCTTTCATCATTAGATCAAATTGAGGGAGAATTTTACTCTTAAACATATGCAATAATTTGGAAGTAAAATCTCCAAAACCCAAAAATTGAATTTAATCGAACCCTACTCGAGTGAAAACAAATATCCTTTTTTCCCTTTCATCATTAGATCAATACCTTCTTAGAAATTTAAGAAAGATAACTTCATTACATATTCCAAATAAAAATAGAACTCTAATTATCACTGGCAAAACCTATAAAAAAAGAAAAAAGAAAAATAGTAATTCTTCACTATGCATAAGTAATTCCAGTTGCCTAACAAAATAAACAATCCAATAAATTTCCACCTTT